ATCTGGGTGTGTTTCCTTTCAACTTCAGTGTGGTGATGTACAGAGGCCAAATGCCAAAACAATTATCCTTGTTCCAATATTTCTGGTCCTGACTCTATATTTCACATCTTGTTATTAAATGTGGGAGCAACAACCTGGAAAGTAAGTACAGGCAGTCCCCAGGTTAAGAACGAGTTCTGTTCCTAAGTCTGTCTTTAACACAAATTTGTATGTAAGTCGGAACTTGTACTTACGAATGGACTGCCTATTACTGAAAGTGGCAGACAGCATTCTCCTTCCTCGAACCGACAAACCACTTGAAGCCATGCAGTGTTTTCATGAACCCCTGAAAATTGCTGAAAACTGGCTGTATATTAAAAGCACACAGCTTCAGTGGTTCATGAAAACATTGCACAGCTTCAGTGGTTCGTCGGCTTGAAGGAGAATCCGGTCTGCCATTTTTAGTAATAGGCAACCCGTTTGTAAGTATGAGTTGTCTGAAAATCTGATGTCTTTAACCCAGGGATTGACTGTAATCAGTTATATGATCATTTGTTCAAATGGTGTTTTTCAAGAACTAAATTGAATTTTAGGATAGTGTAGGACTTCAGGTTCAAAGGCAAAAAGTATTTAACACCTTCTGCAACTTAATAAACCAAATACATATTTTCCCAGGATTGCTCTGCAGCTACAGAGAGTGGTTATTTACACCCTGTAAAAGACACAGCTACTTTGGAGAGTTCCAGATAGGTGCACATTTTTGTCTTTGAATCCCAAGCCCTGCAGAGCTTTAAATACATTAAGTGTATGTCCGCTGGGCTGAATATTAAGTCTGTACAGAATTAATTTAGGCCCAGTTTTGGAGAATACCTCTTTCAGGCAATTCCTTTACTAAAGCACACTTCTATATGATCCCTTGACTTCCAGTGGAACATTTGGAAGTGGCTTGAGGAACAGCTGGGGTGAGGAGGGAATGGAGAAGTTAGTGTGGAAATTAGGTTGAGAGCTAGAATTTCTTAGGACAGAAATGTTGGTGAAGTCAACACTTAACTCTACATTTCACTTGTTCATAGGTTTACAGTAATATTAATATTTAAATATTTTTGAAAAACCATAAAATATTGCTAGTTGTTTAGAATTATTTGCCTCTCCATTTTATAGATAATTGACCCTAAAATGCCTCGTGTTGCTGGTCATCACAATGGTGTTACGATACCAGTGCCACCCCTTGATGTATTGAAAATTGGTGAACAAATGCAGACCAAATCGGATGAAAAACTTTTTTTGGTTTTATTTTTTGATAATAAAAGAAGTTGGTAAGTAATCTTTCTCTCACTATAAAATACATTTTTATTTGTATGATAAATAGATATTTGTTGGAAATATTCTTTGAAAGGAAACTTTCGCTTCAAGTGCTATATTGGAGGAGCAGTGACTTATATGTAAAAGTAAATAGTCTTTTGTAAGTACAGGTAGTCCTCATTTAGCAACTGCCTCATTTAGCAACCATTTGCAGTTACAGTGTTGATGAAAAAGTAACTTTGCGACCAGTCCTTGCATTTACAACCTTAACAGGTCTGTAAAGCAGAGAAAAGCTGAAGTAAAATCGTAAAATCAAGATGTTTCACTTATCTTATCTGCTGTGGCTCCCACCCTCAGGAACATCATCCCCCGTCCCCGAGGTGAGGTTAGCCCCATCCCTGTTACCCTTTCAGAAGCCCCTGAAAATGTTTTTTCCAGCAACCTTGGGGATCCCATGGGGAGCCTACACGATGGTTATATTGTGTTTAAATGGATCTTCTTCTCCATCTAAACACAATAAACAACCAAGTTGCTGGTCTCAATTGTGGTCACTATACAAGGACTACCTGTAAAGGGCATAGAACTATGTTGAAGATACAGCAGTATATACTGTATATACTTGTGAATAAGTCAAGAATTTTAGGCTCCAAAATACACGCAAAAAACTGGGTTGGGCTTACCTGCGAGTATACACAGTAAACCCATATTCTTCAAATGAGAGTTAGTGGGAAATATTTTCCTTTAAAAGTACCATACTTACCTGAAATCACTGGTTCTTTATATTGTTCCTGAATGAAGACACAATAGTTGTGCCCCCCAATAGTCATGCTAGCTGTGGATAATGGAAGTTGTAGTCTAGTTCAACCTGACATCACCTGATTTTTTTAAAAGTCTGTTACAGACAGCTAGCAGTAACCTTGCTTGTTAAATATTGTAGTGTGCTACATATCACATAATTTGGAACTTATAGATACCACAGAATTTTAGGTAATGATCATACTGTTCTAGCTCTTTCTTAGCTGTATCGACAGCTAATTTCATAATATCTGATTATAAATCTTACTGTGATTTAATAAATCCCTAACCAATTGGGCTGAGATGTCTTAGGTTTCTATGGGAAAGTGTACTCCATTTCTAGTTTGGGAGATTATATTTGGTATCCCAGTTCCATAAAAAATATCTGAATGAAATAAGCACCCACTGAATTGCCTTTCCCACTTTGAATCCAGATCATTGCACTTCACAGCCTTATTAATTATGTCTGGGCATTGTTTTAAAAGCATACAGGCATACCTCAGAGATATTGTGGGTTTGGTTCCAGATCACTATAATAAAATAAATATCACAATAAAGCGAGTCACATGATTATTTTGGTTTCCCAGTGCATATAAAAGTTACATTTACACTAGACTGTAATCTATTAAGTGTACATTAGTATGTCTAAAGAAACAATGTACATACCTTAATTTAAAAAATTATCAAAATAAGACAACAGTGAAGTTCGCTGCATAGATTGACTCTTCCTTTCAGAAAAGGTTTCTTTGTAGCATGCAGTGCTGTTTGATAAATGCAATATCTGCCAAGCACAATAAAGCAAAACACAGTGAAATGAGGTATGCCTGTACAGATTGCATGCAGTGTCCAAAACTTTGGGAAGAAATATGGAAATCATAACCAAAGTTGTCACTAAATTATAATCTAATTTGGGTAGTCAGATCACTTATTTCAAGCTTAATCAAAATGAAATAAAGATTAAATTAAATCTTGCTTTTGTCTTGACCCCATCACATTTGGAACTGTATTTTGTTTGCCAAAGACTCAGTGCTCCACCAGCCCCCAAAAGGGTTACACCATCAGTTAAAATGATAAGATAGACATTAAAAAATTGCTTGAGAACCATTCAGTATTTAATCTTTTATTTGTTTTAAAAAAAAGTTTTAAACATTTTTGTTTAATCAATTTACAGGCAGTGGCTTCCAAAATCCAAAATGATTCCACTTGGGATTGATGAAACAATAGATAAATTAAAAATGATGGAAGGTCGGAACTCAAGTATTCGTAAAGCTGTAAGAGTTGCTTTTGATCGTGCTATGAACCATTTAAGTAGAGTTCATGGAGAGCCAGTCAGTGACTTCAGTGATATTGACTAACATAGGTTGTCACCAAGGTACAAAACAACCTTGTATAGAGAACTACAAATTAACCTCTTTGTCTACAAGAATGTATTGAAGATACAGCTCAGTAATCATTGATCCAGTGGTTCTGGAGACTAAACTGGTTGAGCAGCTTCTCTAAATCACCATTGCCATATTGATTTAAAGTTTTATCATTATGTTGCTGTTTCAAGCATTTCCATTAAAATATATCTTGTTCATAGTGTTCATAAAGTGTATATATATGTATAGTCAGCTCTTAACTTATTCTGATTTTAGATGTAGCTTTTTAAAATTTCTTTCTTTTGGTTGGGAAAAAGATAGATTGTCACTTCCATTTCTTTCCACATTAAAAAAAAATACATAGGCACCACTATCCAGCATTAGGTGCTAAGTAACTTTTTAAGTAAATAACATCAGATTGGTTTAGTAAATCATATATTATGATGTGGTGCTGCTTATGTAACTTTTTTGTGATCCATAGTTTTTAAGAAGACCTCTGAATGTTTGATTTTGCAAAAATCATTATTCTTTGCACAAAGTACCACATACATAACTGTAAATTTACAACAACAAATAAATATTTTAAAGAAGAAATTACATTATTTTGGATGGTACTTTGTGAGAAAGACAACAGAAATAAAATTATGCTATGTACATCACTTGAAAAATCTCTAAAAACACTCCATTGTTACCCAAGATACCATTTTAGACATTTGTTGTGTTTTACACAAAACTGGCTTAAAGCTCGTAAGTGTATTATTTCTCACAAACCCATATCTCATCTATCTCCCCTGGATTTTATGTGCCTCCCTGTGTTATATTTATTGTAGAAAATGTATTACTTTGCTTTATAAAGAGAAATAAATAAGAAAGTATATTGATATACATTTTTATACAGGCACATAAGACAATTTGCTTTGAGAGAAAAAGTTGTCTTGGAAATGGTTGTATAAAATAACTTGATGGGTTGTGTGTAATTTGACTTTTTTTGTAACTTGTAATCTTTGCTTCAGTGAGGGGATTTATGTAACTTTTAATTTTAGAACACTTTGGTAGCAATAGAAAATTTGGATACATTTTTGTATGGTACATGTGATGTATATAGAATTAGTACTTTATTTTTATTTCAAAGAGGTAAAGCATTACATTTAGGGAAGGAAAATGGTAGGGTGGGTTTCCATTAATAACTTTTATATTAAAAAATAAAGTCAACTATTGATTGTTGTAGCTACTTTCTTTCTATGTTCACTGGAATACTGAATTTGTAACAATGAAAATAGCAAGTATGTTTTCAATGTGTTTATAATGACTACATTATTTATAAGTGCACTGCGTTGGACTCTTCAGTGATAATTTAAAGACTGTACCAAGGTATATAATATGCAACACCAAATAATGCATATGAATGCACGAAATATTTATGCCCAGCTTTTTTTTTTTTTTTTATAATGGGTTAGCAAATATGGTAAAGCCAATACTTTTAAAATCTTTTAAAACCGTTTCATTGGATAGTATTCTTCATTGTAAAACCTGCTTGAGTCTTTATTTTAAAGCTACAGCCAATTTTGAAATAGTTTCTAATGTTTTTATTCTCTATGGTTTGTAATACCCCCTTAGAAGCTTGAAATAAAATTCCTTTCTCAAATGATACTTTTGTCATGCATTGGGCCCCTTAAAATGTCTGCCAAATATCTAGAATTGTTGAATTTCCATTGAGTTCTAGTGCTCATGATGGAAATTCTTCCAAGTCTTGTGTTAGAGTCCAGTTTGGGCTAAGGATCTGAATAAACAATGTATACATTCATGAGCTCTAACAAACTTTTCATAGTATCTCAAACATACAGTTGCTGCAAGCCAGGTTTGGTATTTTTATGTAAACTAATACTCAAATGAGTGCAATTGCCAGAAGAACTTTTGGAAGTTTCTGAAGTTCCCTTTGATAACAAGAATTCAAAACTTCAGCTATAAATGTGTATTAATATTAAGAAATAGCTGTACAAAAGATGGAAATTTTAACTAGGCTAGGGATTATATTTTTACAACCTTTTTGACTAATGTACATTTTGAGTTTATTTAAATACAGCTCCTATTTCATTCTTGCTAGATTTTTTACCAGTTATACTAAATATATCCATATTACAAGTATAGATCATATCCAATAAGGATGACTGTACTCAAGATGTAAAATCAATCATTTCAGTTTTCTTCACTCTATATCAATACAGACACATCTTTCACAAATACTGCAAAATCATGTTCAATTTGTTGCCACTGAGAGTCACTTAGAGTGCCTCAAGTCCTTGGCAGAAGTATCCAAACAAATGTTTTAGATTTAACATTTTGGTCAAGGTAAGTTTAAAAAAGAAATACTGGTCACAATTATAATAAAAGCTGATCTTCCTCTTTGACCCATCACAGCATGGATGCAAAAAGGGTTCTGGCTTTTTCTTACCTATATGATGATATTTTGATGGAAATTTGAGGTAGAAATGTGAGTGCAGTTTCTTGTCATGCAGTGGAAACCATTTTATTTTCCTCTGGAGCTACTTGTACATCATCCAAATCTAGTCCAGCATATTTGTGGGTTTCTGCTTATTGGAACTCACTAATTGATTATACCAAATAGTTTAGATCCTATTAAACTGATACATTAGGGGCATACTTTAGTGGATTTTGTCTGCTTTGTTTTCCTCCAGTCTCCTTCAGTATCAGTCAATGAAATCTATCACTCATTGTGAGTGTAGGTTTGGGCTGAAGGATGAGGTGACTTGACAGATGGGTAGACACTTGCCCTCCTTTGGGGGCAAGTGTTCTGCCCAGGTACATTCAGTGAACTGATCAGCTGAGTCTAGCTCCTTACGGACACAGGTTTAGCACTACTTAAGAACAACTTTAAAACTCTTCAAATGCAGTCCATCAACAGCTGTCAAGGATGTGCTGTGAATCAGCAGAGAGAGATGGCTTCACTGTGCACCTTTCCCCACCTCATATTACCAGTGCTGGTTAGCTGCTGTTCAACAAGTTGATTCAGGTCTCTGAGCTGGCAATTGGCACGAGATGTCGCAATGAGAGTACCCAATTTGATTTTCCTACTGATAAAAAGCAGAATGGTCCTGAAAACACTCTGAGGACCAGAGGGGAGGCGTATGGTTGTACCAGTCTGAACTGGATGATACGTTGTGAGCTGATCCCACTTCCCAAAGTTCACCTGGCTGCACCAACAACAGAATGGTTAATGAAGCATCAGATTATCCACAGCAAGGCCTGTGTAGGGATAAGTGGGAAAGTACTAACAATTGCCTTGGTAAGGACAACTTAAGACTTCCTTAGGATCATGAATTGGAGATCAAATGAAGGTGATGGCATGAGGACACAACAGAAGAGGGTTGCTGGGATACGTTTGTGCTTCAGTTAAATGCATACATATGCAAAGAGTGGACCTATTTGTTTTGCTGGAGTCCTAAGCAATCTAAATATTAGTAATCTACATTCTCAAGTTCATGTTAAAGTAATAACATTTATTTTTAGTGTTGCTAACCAGTTCTTTTTGTCCTCAAACAGTAGTAGCACACAATATTAAGTGGTGGCATTACATTAGCATCTTGAAATGGGGGAGATTGTACTGAGCACTTAATACTGATTTTACACACACACACACACACACACACACACCAGATGAATTGAAGTGTTCAGTCTGATAGATTAAATTATTAATCTTTTAAAAGGTAGATTGAGTAGATGTATACTGTTAGTACAAAACAGTTTGAACCAAATTGTTTAGAATGCTCATGAACATAGAAAATGAGTGTTGAATGCTTATGTTTTCTTATATTTTTCAATCTTATAAAGATTTTCATCTAACCAAATTGTGGGGGCTGCTTTGCCTTGCCCCAAAAAAGATGGAACCAGGACACTGAGATGAGAAGGGCAAAGACAAACTAAATGTGATTTAATTTAATGTAGACTAATGAAATACATATTTGATTGCTGCCTATATATTCAATAATTTCTCCTAACATTAAAAATCACAATTCAACAGTAAACCTCTAGAGAAACTCTGACAGCTGAGTTCAAAAATCAGGGAGTTTAAATACCTTCAGCTCTGGTTTCTTGGATCTCCTGAATTCTACATGACATCCACATAAATTTCAGACATCTGTGTCACGGACACCACAGCATTTCCTCTCTTGTATTTCAAGAAATGTTGATGGCTCTCCTAACAAAATAATCATCTCTGCTAAGACCTACAATTGTTCATAAGTAGAAATGGAGACATTTCTATATTCCACAGTATTTTCCACTTGTTCCCCACCAGGTGGCTTAGGTTACCCATTTCCATCATCTCCAGTTATGGAGGTCTTCGTAATCTTTGTAGTCAAGAACACCTTGGCAAGGTGATGAATTTTGCCCATGAAGAGATTCCTGCCTCTACTGCTGACTCAAGTAGTAGAATAAAATTGTTTAGAATAAAATTGCATATAAATTGTTGATGCACCATCACAATGCATCCCCAAAATTTAAAAACAGCAAACAACCAGCCCTCATCTCTAGCTGTCCCAAATTCACTGATTGATTGATACAAATGTCTATACTGTCCCAATCCTAACAACTATGGGCAGCATACACAAGCAATCTCCCAATATAGACAGACAATCATTAACGATAAAAATGATAGCCACTACTCTTCCTCAGCTAGGTGTTCAGAGCATCAAAAAAGATTTTAAAAAGAAAGTTTTGAGTATTTTTCTAAAGCCAGGAGGGACGGAGCCAATCATAACTTCAGACGTATTTTGCGAAGAGAGTATTTGCCATTTAATCAACGCAATTGTGGATATTCAATATCGATGTTACAATAATCAGGGACAATCACAGAGACATGGGTTTAAATCCCCAAACAATAAAGTTCCCTGGAGTGGGGAATCCAAGGACTGAACTGATGTATGAGAAATGTGTTGAAGGCACATGCCAAAAGTGGGGAAGGAAAACTTACTATGGGCATTCAAAACAATTTCCATATGTATAAAAGCACTTTCCTGTATTGGGTGGTTTTTTTAAAAAAAATCTCATCCCCCTTTTAAAACATGAACTATTTATGTTTTTTGTTCAGTGGCTTCAATTCATTGTTGGGCCATATACAAATCTGGCCATGCTCACACCCTAGCAGCCTTCTCCAGCCTGGGTACTCTGTAGGTGCACGGACTTGAGTTCCTGGAATTCCCTGCCAGCAAAACCATGCCTGTATATTCTGGAACTTGAAGTCCGCATGTCTTAAGGATGACCAAGGTGCATTATGTGCTAGCTAAGACTGGCAGTTTTACACCAGAAAATAAGGCAATGATTCTGTTCCTACAGATGGCCATACCCAAAGGATAAACTGGGGGAACATGGTTCTATTCACTGGCAATGCTCAGTTTTACAGCTGTTATTTAACATTTATGTGCAACCATCAGTGTAAGTTATCTAAGATATGGCTGAGTTGTCTTCAGTACAAAAATACAGCAGGAACTTAAGAATTCGATAGAGACAAAGATGTTGCACTTCAATTTAGATGAGCCAGAAGTGTTATTTGCTCAATAGGGTGATGGTTAAACTGTTCTGGAGGGTGGTTATAATCCTCCTTAAAGATCAAGTATGCACTTTAGAGTCCTCAATTGTCACTGGGGAAATACATGACCTCGGTATTTAGGGGCACATTTCCATTAACTCAGGATGACATGCCAGCATAGTGGGCAGCCAGGGGTTAACAAAGTTTACCACAGTAACAGCTCAGTGATTGGCTGAACCAAGAGCCTGACTTTATCCAACTAAATTCCAATTAGGTTGACCTTTTTTGGGTTTTTTTTCTTTGTGCCCAGTGGAATCTTGGAAAGAAAGTATGCAAAGGAACTTCAGATGCCATCTGTCTGTTTGTCTGTCCATCAGCAGGACAATTCCCTGAAAACAGAAGAGAACTGCACCAAATTTGGTATGGCTAGAGATACTGTCAAAAGAAAGGTTGAGTTTGAAAATAGGTTGGATCCAGTCAAGAGGCTGTGGAGGGAAAACAACATCAGAAAAAAAAATCCCGAATGCAGTTCAGAACATTGTGCTTCCTGCTATTACATACTGAACTCAGTTCTAAGGCCCTCTCCCTCTGACATGACCCAGAACAGAGTGTTTGCAGTGCACTGTGTGCATCCTGGTGCACCTGCACACAGAAACATGCAGAGATGCAACACAGGACAGCAGAAACCCACAGACATGGAGATGCAACATGTTCCTTCATTTTATGAAAGAAAAAGGCCACGGACAATAAAGACGTTGGAAAGAATTCTGGTAGCCCTGCATGGTTGTCCTACTTTGGGTCTGGCTGAGGAGAAGCAGGTTTTTGCAGTAGGGCTGTGAGGAAGTGGTATGGATACGATTGGGTTTGTGGGGATCTTCCCAAGTAAGCTAGAATGCAGGTACAGACCAGGCTTCCAAAACAATTATTCCAAATTTATTTGAGTTCCATGCCACCTTTATTTTGTGCAACCCAAGGCAGCATACACAATGTTTCCTCCTATTTTCCCCATAACAACAGCCCTGTGAGGTGGGTTGGCCTCAGAGAGTGACTTGCTTGGGCAAAATCTAAAAAAAAAACAAAACTTGAAGTAGTTATCAGTA